TTATTATTAAGAACTAAATTAAGTTATAAAAGCGCAAATTAACTCCCAATAACAATTAACGCACAATTAAGTAATAATTAAGCATAAAATTGTATATTTGGACATTAAATGCTAAAAATGCAAACGATGCCTATTTTTGTAATTTTTATTTTTTGTAAAACAAACTTAATTACTAACAATTGTAGAATTAAATTTTACATGCAAAATGCAACATATTTTTGTATTCTTATTAATTTAACAAATAAATATGTACAGATAAATACAAATAATTATTCAAAAATATCACAAAATTGCACACCAAGAAAAATCATTTTATTTTTGAATTTTTGGGAGTAATTTTCATATAGAGCAAATATCACATGCTTACAGCAATGACAATATATGAAATATTGGGTGAGAAACCAAAATAAATACATTACTTATAAAACAGAGTGTTTGAAGAATTTTGCTAGTAGTATTACAGCTGTATTGTATGCGATGGGTTACAAAGTAAAAGGGTGAGTAGTGTCATGTGCATGGTGCAGCATGACATGATTGAATTCTCATTTCCTCGTTTCAAGTTTCGCACACAAACTTTCCTATGGGAAAAGGCAAAAGAACCTAAAACTGAAATTCATGCCAAATACATATACAACCCATTCAACTTAACACTATTTTTTAATTTAGCACCTTATTTTTACTTTGTTCTATTTTAGCCCTTCAACTCTATTTTAAATATTTCATTTTGACCCTCCAACTCTATTTCTTATGTTCCACTTTAACACAAAAGCTAAAACCAATGCAAAAAATATAGTGCGTGTGTATATTCAAATTTGAGGTGTAATAAATATCCAATTAAATGTTGTCACATGGTTTTTCATCCATATCAAACGGGTCAATACTAAAATATCTAAACCCGATCATGTTTTTTGTGGGTTTATTTCATCTAAACGGCCCAGGTATGAAATCGGCATATGAAAGGTTTGGAACTTAGAGAATGAAGATTGGGCAACAGTGGATGAAAAAATACGGTCGGGTTCGGATATTTTAGTATTGACCTATTTGACATAGATGAAAAAATTCAGGTGACAACATTTAATTGGATGTTTATTACACCTCATATTTGTGTATACACACGCGCTATATTTTTTGCACTGGTTACAACTTTTGTGTTAAAGTGGAATATAAAAAATAAAGTTGGAGAGCCAAAATGTAACATATAAAATAGAGTTGAAGGGTCAAAATAGAACAAGGTAGAAATAAAGTGACAAAATAAAAAATGGTGCTAAATTGAATGGGCTTTATATGTATTTGGCCATTCAGTTAAACATGTTAGGAACCGACTTTGCTTTTTGTGCTTGACGATACTCATAGTCTCGTATTAAACAGCATCTTCTACTGCTGTCATAATGATGCTAAAGTGATGTTAGCCAAATCTCCAAACATCATTCAATTTGCAGACCTTAAGAAGGAGTAGCTTAAGAATTATTAATTCGTTTTAAAAGATTAATTGTGCATAAACATAAAGGCAAATTCAAAATTTAAAGTCAGTGAATTCAGAATGAGGGTAATCCTATATACAGAGGCAGAGCTAGCCTATTAGGTGCAGATTCGACCGAACCCAATCACTTTTGCTTAAACAGTGTATTATGTTAAGAAATTTGTTAAATATGTATAAATATTTAATTGCGAATCCAGTAACTAATACAAACTATGGATTCCATGATTTCAGAACTCAAAACTTCAAATTCTAACTCTACCTTTACATATAGGGATAATTTCACATAAACACAACTCACACATCTGACTTGCAACATAATAGCCTAATCATAACTTTACAAATCTGTAGCCAAAAAATAATAGGCTAAGATTTGAAAAAAGAGTATTTTCTAGCTTTTTTATTCAGCAACGGAGTTTAATCAGGACAATTATCTTATTTAGATGAAGTCATGAGATTGGGCCGACTGACATAGGATGTAATTCTTTCTTACATGTATATGTATTATAATTTATATGTATATGTATACGTTGTTCGAGCGAAAAATAATGAACTTAGTGAAACTCGTAGAACCTGAGAATTGTCCTTGACGATTTCGTTAAGAAAATAAGGCTCGTCTTGATCACTATTTACTTACATAAAAAGTCGTTTTACAAGATATTTCTACGCCAATTTCTGATTCATTTCTTTCTGTAGATATTTCTGCCCCAATTTCTGATTAATTATCTTCCTTTTCCAAGTATTTTGTCAAATAACGTGATTACTTCAAGGATCGCCTACATCCGTCCCACTAAACCCGCTCAAAAATAATGAAATTTTCACTATTAAGGCTCCATTTTTTATTGGAGTGATGCAGGTTTTATGACTAGTTATATTGCAACTTTGCAAATATATAAATTTGGTTAAAAGAATGACAACTACTAGAACTATTTCCCAATCGATTAAATACCCATACTTGTAAACAACTACAAATATGATATGCATTTCATCTTTAATTAATCATTGGAAGTACTTTGATATATAAAGCAGAGTGTATATATAAACAGGTATTCCGGGTCAACCTCAACTCCGAAACAACGCGTTATAAAATTATTTAAAGTTTAATTCACTTTACATATATTTTGGATAAATATAATTTTATATTATAGATGCAATTTAATCGAGAGAAAACTCGTTGATGACAGTATTAATAAAATAAAATTGTGGTTTCTCCAACCATTTAAATTTTTAGATGAGATGGTGGGTCCGTCCACCTTTAACCGGATATAAATATACATCTTGATAGATAACCCCCTTAAGGGGCTTTAAACAACACGGATTTGAATTAATTGAACCGGTGAATTCTAATATAGGGTTATAATCTCTCCATTTCAATTTGTTTGCCGTAGTTTGACTTGGAACAAAATTTAATAAAGAAAAAAAAATATTTTTAAAACTTTAGGTCTTAAATATGTCATAACATAATATTTGTATGGCTACAAAACTTTTGAAACTTGTAATCTTAAACGAGTCATAGTCTTTGTGTAGCTATAAATAGGAGTGGGCCTATGCTATAGTGAGAGGGTTCACCGGCATCTGTAAAGTTAGCCAATAATTTTGTGTATACATGTATGTCTTTATAAAATAGTAATATATTAGTAGTGGACACCCTATATACAAAGCATATTTTGGTTGAATCCAAAAATATATCTCCCGACCTTCAAATTTTGAGTCCGCATCCGACTATAAAAGCTTCTCATCAAAAAATTAAAAAAAATATAGAAATATATCAATATTTTTAGAACTGATTAATAAGAAAATAGTGCCGAACAGGATGAAACCGAGGGAGTAAGAAAAACGAAGTTGCCTTGCGAACCACGTTTATTGTTGACAAACCACTATTTAGGGACTTGTGTTCCTCCTCAGCAACACTTTTATCCTTTTATTAATATCTTTGTTTACAACATTTTCATTCCTCTTTCTCTTCTTCCCTAAGCCCCACTTTCCACTGCCTGCATATTCTCTAATTCCTCCTTCATATAAGCATCTATTTTCTTCCTTTCTACATCCAATAAGTATTATCCAATAGTTTACACTTATCCTATTTGCCAACTTTCTTTCCTCTTCTTTTCATATTTAATCAAAGGTTCTTTTTAGTGTTACATATTTGAAGCACTTGGTTGCAGCTTATAGTCAAAAGATGGAAAAAATTTCTGGATTTTGTGGAGATGAAGAAGAAATGGAATTGCCTCCTGGTTTTCGTTTTCACCCTACTGATGAAGAGCTTATCACTCACTACTTATCCCCAAAAGTTCTTGATAGCAGCTTTTGTGCCAGAGCTATTGGTGAGGTGGACTTGAACAAGATTGAACCCTGGGATTTGCCATGTAAGTACTCCGGCGATAAGAGGCGGATTTATAGGGAGGATTATGAGACACGTGAACCCATGGTCTCTCCATAAAACTAGATATTTTATGTATATGTTTTTAAAAATTAATATAATATTAACTATAGACACCCATTGCTCTAAGAAGACTGAATGGTGCACTTGGTTGATGGTTGAGTTATTTGTCAAGGATCAATTCTCACTTAAGATATTTTTTCTTCTTTTTTAATAGTGCACCCATATAGTGTTAATCCTAGACCCGCCTCTGGACTGATAAGTTTGATTGAACCCGTGAGTAACACGAATCTTTTAAATAAAAGATACATACAGAGTGAAGCGAATTTAGAACTTAAACTTATTGAATTCAATATTTAAATATGTACTCAGTAATTTTAAATTCCGTATCCGTTACTGTTAGATGATTTTTACTAGTGATTTCTTGAATTTCCCTAAATGTATTGCTTTACTGTTTGATTTGAACATTAGGGAAGGCAAAAATGGGTGAAAAGGAGTGGTACTTTTTCTGTGTAAGGGATAGGAAATATCCAACTGGCTTAAGGACAAACAGAGCAACTGAGGCAGGGTATTGGAAGGCAACTGGTAAAGATAAGGAGATATTCAAGTTGAAAACACTTGTTGGTATGAAGAAAACTCTGGTTTTCTACCAGGGGAGGGCACCTAGAGGAGAAAAATCCAATTGGGTCATGCATGAATATAGATTAGAGGGCAAATATTCAGTCCACAACCTTCCTCAAACTGCCAAGGTAAAACTCATTTTGTGTTCCCCTGTTTCAGGTTGTTGTAACTCTTCCATGTGAAATAAAATCAAGGGAAAAGGACAAAAGTACCCTTTTACTATCCGGATATTTAATTTTACTTTTTGTTATTAAATCGTCTCGTATTTGTCTTTGACTTTAATGAGCACCAGTGTGGAGTGGATAGATTTTACGTGTCAAAATACTTGGGAAAAATACCAAAATTTATCCCTCTTCTTTTGTTTGTAGTTCAAAATTATACTTTAAGGTATAATTCAGTAAAGATTAAGGGCAAATACAAGACGATTGCTATTTATAGTAGTATGAATTAATGGGACAAAGCATAATAGAGAAAAAATTTAAAATATTTCATACAGTTGGAGGGTATTTCTAACCCTTTTCTCTAAAATTAAAGTGGACCGATATAAAAAAATCAATGACCAATTGCAATTATTTAGGATTGAGACGTAGTTATTATTGACTTATTGTTAATTTCTTTTTGCTGTTGTGCAGAATGAATGGGTGATTTGCAGAATCTTCAAAAAGAGTGCAGGAGGGAAGAAGATACATATTTCAGGGCTAATAAAAAACAACAATATAAATGACAATTCAATGTCTTCAAATTTGCCTCCATTAATAGACATATCATCATATGACAGTCAAATTACAACAACAACCACATGGAAAGGGGAAACATCTAATTATTCTCATGTGACCTGCTTCTCCAATTCAATAGAGGACCAAAAATCTCAAACTAGCTTGGCTGATGATTTGAGCACAAATAATAATCCTTATGTGGAGAATTTCCAATATGGGGATTTTGGTTTAATGCAAGATCACTCCATACTGAGGCTTTTGTTTGAGAACAAAGAGTCAGAAGCAAAGCAGAATTATGATACGAGGGCTTATGAGGATCTTGATTGTCTTTGGAATTATTGAATTTGAAAGAATAAAGACCGAGGAACAACCGTTTTATTACTTTGGCGGTATTATTTCTTTACAATATATGCGGGGTGATCAGTTGGACCTAGCATATGAAATGCAACACTTGGTAGAGCTAATGGATATAGTGTGTGTGTATGTATTCTCAAAGTTGTTGCTATAATTTGATTACTTTTAATTCCGTGGGCTTGAATAGGAGAAGGAAAAGTGAATAGAAGAAGAATACATGTTTAATTTGGGATGCGAACCCCAATACTGTTGAGGTTTAGGGTAGAAAGTGCAACAATTAGTTGCAACTCAAAATCCCAAAGTTAGAATATTATTATAGTAATACTGATTGTGTATTGATGTTTCTCACCTCAAATAATACAAGTAATTAGTACATGTTCATAGGAGAATGAAGTTCAATATTTGGTGCCACATATTTCTAGTTCCCAATAGGCACTTTTCATTGTTGTTGTATTAGAAAAATTACAATGTTTTTTGATCAAATGTCACTTTTGATGATACACACATATTTTTGTAAACTATTAGTTAGGTAAGTTGGTTATTTGTAAGATGATTTATTGAAGTTATATGGGGCTTTGCTATAGCCATCAAAGGTCAGTTCCTAAAGCATTTTTCATTCATCTTTCTTTAGAGTGATATTACAAATCATCAATTTGTATGTCTTAACTATCATTAATATAAAGAGTTTAAGTTACGGGATATTATTACTTTTAGTCCACGCCAAAAACTATTTACATTTAGGAGTCAAAAAAGTTATAAAATTTATATAATTTTTGTATATAACATACAAAATGTATATTTATACAAAAAACATAGAAAAAAAAATATGCATTTTTTCGACTATTAATTTGAGAGTGGCTATACAGTATCCATTTCCCTTTTAAGTTACACACTGATAAAAACCAATTAGTAGCCTTCCTATAAGTATTCTTATTCTAAGCAACTTACAATTGTTAGGCCACCAACCCAGTTACCATGGCTCTAGTAAGTTTTCTACTCTGCTCAATTCAAAGGGTAATGGCTCATTTCGACAATAACAAGAAACAAAACCACTCAAGCTAAATTCATAATCTTCCTTTTCTATCAATCTTATTTAATTTATGAAGATAGGGATCACGTTTTTTTATTAGCGAAATTACATAAATGACGTTGAAGTTAGTTTAAGATTTCAAATTGATGAAAGCTATGTGATTTTCAAATGCTCTACTAAATTTTCAAACAACTCATTCCTTTTTTTTTTTTCACGGTGTCTGATACCTGTATTGGGTCATGATTAATTCAAATTCGTGCTACATAAAATCAATTAAGGGTAAAAGCGCTCTCTACTAGAATTTTTCAATACCAAGGCTCAGTCCGAGACCTTTGGTTAAGAGTTAAGAGATCCTACTTATCTCACAACAACAGTTGGTTGGCGTGGAAAAACTCATTCCTAAACAGGTATCCTCTGACATTTTCTTTCTTACTTTCGACTAAACATTTCCCATGTATCATCATGTTCTAGTTGAGAAGTACTCTATCACATAGGTGTGAGCTTGGACGCTTATGTTTGTTAATAAAATCGTTTATGCACAAAGGGCAAATAAAAAATTGGGATTGAGACTATTTATGTTAATCGATTGCTGTAGTTGAGGGTTCTATAATTGCGGTCCCATGGCAAATATTCTTTTAATTTATTTTAGTTTTGACAGTTTGACTTTCAAGTTTGAGTAGAGAGGAACCACATGGATATTCAACTTCGTATTAAGATTTTCAAGTCACCTTAATTGGGATTTTTTTAGCTCAAAGCACTCTTAACATTTTATTTTATTTTCCCACCTAATGTCCGATAACTGATTTGGAGTCCGACTAATTCGTAGTCGCTCTGGGTAAGGCTCATTAAAGAGGCATGTAAGCCCTCCCCTACTAGACTCTTTTCATTGTTAATGCTCAGATTTTATTCAAGTGTTGGCTTAAGGTTTGAGTATATGCTAAAAAGTAAAAGTGATGACCCAAACCTCGAATATATTAGAGAATATGAAACAATTTTAGTTGCTTATTTGTAGAGCTTCTGTCTAATGTGGAACGTGTTAAGGTTTATATTGACCTTNCCCAACCCCTCCCCAAACCAAAGTCTTTGTCCTCCCCTTTTTACGAACCCATCCTAAAAAAGACATGAAAAAAGGAACAAACACATATCTTAAACAAATCAACTCCATTTTTTTTTTGTGCCTTTTTACAATTTTGTCAGCAAGTTAATTTAAATAAAATTGAATAGCAGTCTATCCCTAAAAGTTCAAGAATTTACAAGTTATTAATCTTACTTTTCTGGATAGTTAGACGTTACTTCTATTTTAATGTGACCTAATAATGAAAATTCTTTTTCTCTGTTAATGCATTGAAGTTAAACTCTAACTGAAAAGATAGTCATTTTGGCCGATATATGGGGTGAGATGGTAGGTTACATAGTAAATTATGCAGATAATGTTTTAGTCAATAACTAGAAAACAAAAGAAACAAAAATGAGCCTTTCACTCTTACATATCTTTTTTGCCTCAAATGCGAAATGGTGTTCTTGTCTTTATTATATGGCGTCAAAGTGCAATTTCTTAAAAGCTTTCCACAAGAATGGGACATGGATCAAAACATGCAATTCATGAGGTCTTGTCTTGAAGTGAAAGACGAAAGAAACCTAATGAGAATAAAGAGACAAAAGCAGTATTGTTCTATGTTTTGCGCATCACCTCATCACGGTTTTCACATGCTAATTAATAATACGAAAACATTTCTAGCTTATATTCTAAATCTATGGTTCTTAAATACCAAGAAAGTTGTCGTGAGATGAATTGAATCCTCCTTAATTAGAGATCTTAGATTCAAGTTTTGGGAATGAAAAAAAATCATAATAGATAACGCTTTCTTTTTAATTGATCTTATGCAGCGAGCGAGAATTCAATTTAATCGGGACATTAATACGAATACCATATGTGAAATCCAAACAAAATGGTTCTTTCTTCGCAAAGGCTTATGAAGGCAGTGTTGCAGTGCCGGCTGAAGGCCAAAGCCACTAAGGCAATGGCTTTAAGCCCCTAAATTTTTTGGGCCTTTTTTTTTTATAATTAATAGTAGGTTCTATAGTTAATTTTAATCAAAATTTACTTAATATTTTAAGGTGAAGAAACAAGATTTTCATAAAAATTAAAAGAGAACTTTTTAGCCGCGTAATTGATTAGCTATATTATCAAATTGAAAAAAATATATTAGAAAATTGATCAAAAGTTTGTTAACATCTCTCCATCTAAAAGAGCTAAAAAATAGACTTCAAATAAAATATAATATGATTTTTTTTTTAAAAAAAAAAAAAAAGAAAAGAAAAACTTAAGGCCTCTTGACAAAAGTATGCTTTAAGCCACCAACATTTTTCCAACGGGGTAGACTTCACCACATTTCAGCTGGAGAGCAAGGCCCATAGATGGCGGCAGTCTTATCTCCGTAGTAGGCCAATAGGTTCACCTTCCTTTACCTAGGACCAGTTCACACGTCTCTTTTTGGAGAGATATATTCCACCCTCTCAGAGGGAAGAGTTGGGGTGTCAGTTCGAGCGGCTCCAACAGGGTCAGATGTCGGTGTCCGATTATGAGGTGAGGTTTTTTGAGTTGTCTCATCGCGCACTTATGATACTCCCCACAGATGCAGAGAGAGAATGAAGGTTTATCGCGAGCTTGCATTATGGCATCTAGGTTACTATGGCCCGTGAGGTTGAGATGGGGACTCCTTACTAGCAAGTTGTGGAGATAGCTCGGAGGATCGAGGGTATCCGTCAATGGGCCGAGAGCATGCACCGAGGGACAAACGACATCGATATTCAGGAGGATTCAATGGTGCTCCATCTGGGGGAAGATGTCAGTTTGTGAGGGGTCAATCTAGCAGGCCCATGTATTCAGCACCACCGCCTTTTTGGGGTGCTCTAGTATAGTGCTACTTCAGCGCTATTTCAAAGAGTGCCTACCATCCACTAGCTATTCAAGGTTCTTCCAGTAGGTGTTCAGGTTACTAGTGTCAGACCCAGGCTTAGCCATCTTCTGCACCGAGAGGTTGCTATGAGTGTGGGGAGCTGGGTCATATAAGGAGGTTTTTCCCCAAGCTTCGGTAGAAGGCAGTACAGTAGGGCCATCAGCCCATGATCACCATACCGGTTGTCGCACCGCCCATCCGGCCAGCCAGAGGCGAAGGATAGGTGGGTAGGGGTCTCCCTGGAGGTGGAGGACAGCCATGTGATGCTCCAGCGAGGTTCTATGCCTTCCCATCCAGACTAGATGCAGACGAGTGATCACATGTATTATTTTTGTTTGCGGTAATGATGTTTCAGTACTATTTGATCTAAGGTCTATATATTCATATGTGTCTTCCCTATTTTCTCCTTATTTGGATGTATCTCGTGAGTCCTTAGGTGCTCTTGTATATGTATCTATGCCAATTGGCGATTCTATTAATGTAGATCAGATTTACTGGTCCTATGTTGTGACTTTCTATGGTTATGAGACCAAAGCGGATCTTCTGCTGCTTGATATGATCGACTTTGAGGTCATCATGGGCATGGACTGATGGTCTCTGTACCACGCCGTTCTATATTACCATGCCAAGACTGTTACCGTGGCGCTGCCGGAGTTGCTTAGATTAGAGTGGAGGGGTTCATCTATCAATATATCTAGCCGGGTTATCTCTTTCTTGAAGGCTCGAAATATGATCGAGAAGGGTTGTTTTGCCTGTCTGGATTATGTTCGAGATACTACTATAGAGACTCTTACGATTGATTTAGTACCCGTGGTGTGGGAGATCTTCAATGTATTTCCCTTAGATCTATTAGGCATGCCACCAGAGCATGATATCGATTTCATTATTGATTTGGAGCCAGACACCCAGCCTATCTCTATTCCACCATACTACATGGCTCTGAAGGAGTTGAAGGAACATCTTGAAGAGTTTCTCGCGAAGGGTTTCATCAGGCCGAGTGTGTCACCTTGTGTCGCACCGGTATTGTTTGTAACGAAGAAGGATTGGAGTATGCGTATGTGCATTGATTACTGCCAATTGAACAAAGTTACCACTAAGAACAAGTACTTGTTGTCGTGAATTGATGCTTTTTTTGACCAGTTATAGGGTGCCAGGGTGTTCTCCAAGATCGACTTGAGGGCTGGGTATCATCAGCTGAAGATTCATGTTTCGGATGTTCCGAAGATGGCCTTCCGAACTAGGTATGGGCACTATGAGTTTCTAGTGATGCCCTTCGACTTGACTAATGTCCCAGCGCCATTTATAGATTTAATGAATCGGGTGTTCAGGCCATATCTTGACTCATTTGTCATTGTCTTCATTAATGACATATTGATCTACTCACATATTATGGAGGAGCACGA